AACTACTTGGGATCTATTGTTTAAATTTGATTTGAAAATTTTTAAGGCATTGCCAGTTATTCCAATCGTTTCCAGCTTTTCTACGAGAAGCGAGTGGCAAACTGTGTCGAAAGCTTTCATTATATCAATGAATACTACAAGGACAATTTTCCTTTGGTCGGTATTAGTTTTAATTTTTGTAATGAGATTAATTGTAGCTGATAATGTATTAGATTTTGATCTAAATCCATATTGGTGTTCGTATAAAAAGTTTATATTATTTAGGTGGTCTAATAAGCGCGTGTATAAAACTCTTTCTAATATCTTGGACATAACCGGCAATACCGAGATGGGTCTGTAGTTACCCGGATCATCTCTGGGCCCAGATTTGTATATTGGACTGACCTTGGCGATCTTTAAGTTATCAGGGAACTTGCCGTCCCTGAGTAATTCGTTAAGACAGGACGTTAAGTTATCAAGAATCTGACTTTTAATACATTTAATGGTTTTGGTTGTGATGCCATCTATACCTGAACTACAGTTTGGGTCAAGATTGTTAATAATTTGGGAAATTTCCTGAGCTGTACACGGTCTAAGAATATTTAAAATAAATTGTATGTTGTTATTTGGTACGGTTAGATTGAAATTGTTTTGTTTATTACGTAGATGATTAGTGAGATTTAACCCAATAGTAGAAAAGAAATTATTAAAAGACTCACAAATGAGAATGGGATCAGTTATTATATATGAATTAACATTCAGCTTTGTGGGAGCAATGGTATCTTTCTTTTTGTTAGCGGCAAGTTCTTTCAATAAACTCCACATTTTCTTTGGATTTGTGCATTTTAGAAATTGGCTGTAATAATAACTATCCTTAGTTTTCTTAATAACTTTAGTTACAGACTCTTTTATTTTATGGAATTCATTTTCTATACGAGAATTGTCTCTGTTATTTTTGTATTTCTTCCACAGGTCATTCCTATCATTTATAATATTAATTATTTCCCTATTAATCCAGTCATTTCGTGGAGCATTTAAAATTTTTGTCTTTGTTATTTTGTTGTTTTTAACGTTTTGCTTTATTAAGTCATCAAGAACTGTGTATTCAAAACCTGGATTCTTAATGTTGACATCTGCTATACTTTTGAATAAATTTTCATAATTTATAGCGTCATATTGAATTCGCTGCTTCGGAGTTGGTTTAATTTTTTTTAATTGCAAATAAATCTGTTTGTGGTCAGCCATAGGTAAATCCAATATTGACAAGTGAAAGTTGTCATTTAGTAAATCTGTACTGACATGATCAATTATTGTCTTTGATGTATGGGTTTCTCTAGTACAATACATCGGGTCAATTTTATTCAATAGCTTGTGACCTTGTCCCTGAAGTAGATTCTTGTATAAAGTGGTATTTCTGTTTCTAGTAAGTAAATCTATATTAAAATCACCAAAAACGATGATACGGTTTCGTTTCTGTAACTGTGCTTCATATGTATCTATAAATTTTTTATAATTAGTATTACCAGGGTTATATATAAGTCCAATTTCAAGAGAATAGTTCACAAGTGTTACCCATAAGTAATTATTCCCATCTATGAATGTGGATTCACTTAAGATATGTTTTAAATCATTGTGTATAAAAATGGAAACACCTCCACCTGTTTTATCAGTTCTGAGGTTGTAATAGTGTGTATATTAAGATGAAATGAACGAGCATGCTCTTCACTTTTAATCCAGGTCTCGGTTAACAATATAATATGTGTCTTGGATTTAATACACTTCAGTAGGCATTTCAATTCATCAAATTTACCTCCACGACATATACTGCGAACATTTGCATAGAAAAAATTCATACGTGAGGTTGCAATTTGTAGATCTTGATAGTTATATAGTAGGTCGTGTGTTACAAGTTTTTTTTTGTCAACGCTTAATGTTTGGAGTTTTTTGATTTTTCATTTATTTTTATAATCGTTGGTATGCCTCTTATGTATTTTATAGTTAAGTCAGTCTCCCCACTTGTTTGACGACGAGCCAGTTCATCCTTTATGCAATTTAAATATTTCTGCTGAGATGGAGTTTGATCTGAGTAAATTTTAATTCCGGTAGGTAACTTGCTTTTATTGCGTAATAGTACTTTAGGTGTATCACCATCATTGAAGCAAATTTTTAGAGCACGGTTTTTATTAGAATCTTGTTTTCCGATACGAAAAATTTTGGCTGGCTTGCAGAGGTCCTTAGATATAGTAGATATTATTTTCCGAACTTCAGATTCATCCGGGTGACGCTGAGTATCAGTACTTGGTAATGGTCGTTCAGGCAGTCCTACCAGAATAATATTTTTCTCTCGGTTGTTGCGTTCAAATAATTCCTTTAAAATATTTTCTTGTTCTAATATCATCGATTGTGTACATACGGATGAATTTACAGGTGTTTTTAACGTTACGATCTCGGATTCTAAGGACTTAATTTTTTGTTCGCCAAAAGAAATTTTATTTTCAAGTTCTGAGATCTGAGATTTTATTGCAATTTGTTCGGTAGCTGCACCACTGGTAGTCGATTTTATAGATGAAATTTCATTTTTCAATTCCGTAATACTTTCACGCATAGCCGTCATATTTTGTTCGTTGGATTCAACAAATCTTTCTAACAGGTCAGTAATTCGTGATATCTCTTTTCGCATTTCCTGCACTTCTGTTTTGCAGTCACAGTCACGATCGGATGGTTGTTTCCTTTTGCGAAAGGTAATCTGGGTGTCACTTGCTTCGGTGGAAATCTTTGATAGATCCGGCTGAGAACTTCCTCTAGGCCAGCCTAGGTTGTTTAGCCGCTAGCTTTTCCATCATGGTTTGCAATTGCTGACAATAGACTTCAGCCGTAATAGTCTGGCCAGATTTGAGAAAACTGCAATGAACAATACCGGCACTAGTCTACCAAACGCTTATAAGTAACTTTTTTGGGGTTAATTTTCGCTTGGGGCAGGATTTGGCTGGCTGGCCAGGATCCAACCATTGCGCTGAGCGCTTCCGATTATCGTAAAGAATCCATTTTTCATCACAGGTAATGATTCGGTTTAAAATACCTTCATTATTGTGCCGGTTCAGTAATGTAATGCAGCAGTCGACGCGCGTTTGCCGGTTTGCTTCAGTCAATTCGTGAGGCGTGAGGCCCATCTGTCAAGCTTTTTAATCTTCCCAATTTGCTTCAAGTGAATTAAAACAGTTTTATTACTAACACCGCAGCCTGCAGCTAACTCGGACGTGGTTTGCGATGGATCCGCTTCCACAATAGCCTTCAATACTTCATTATCAACTTGGGTCTCAGGCCGTCCACGTGGCTTGTTCTGCAGGTCGAAATTTCCAGAACGAAAACGTTGGAACCAAAAACGAACTGTGTTTTCTTTTGCAACATGACCGCCATATACATCATTCACCCTTCGAGTCGTTTCCGCAGCACTAGTGCCACGGCGGAACTCGTACTCGTAAATAATGCGATACTTTAAGTTTTCCATTTTGTAAAATGAGTGACGCAAACAGAAAAAACAGAAGAAAAAAACAAATGAATGACGGTCATCGAAGCACAAATACATGAGTAAATAGCTGTACAAATTTGAATTTGGAATTCCTTACCAAAGAGGAGAACATCGTGATTAAAGTGGCCAGTACGAAAAACGCCAATTTCATATGTAAGGACCTAATATATATCTTTTAATAGCTATGGTGATAAATCTAATGGTAATGGTTTTTTTTTGTTTACTCCAACATGTCGCACCCTTAATAATATAAGGGCTCAAGTCAAAAATTTTGTAAAGTTTGATTTTGAATGCTAAGGGCACAAAACGAAATTATCTACCGGCTACCGCTGCAGAGAGAAAAAGAACATTAACGACTAAAGGGCTTATTACACTACGCGGTATTCAGACAGTCTTACTAAGATTTAGCATAATGTAATAAGAGTTAGCAAGTTAGCCTGTCTAATTAGACTGACCGAATGGGTTCGGCGGTGCTCACTTGCTGAATACCGCGTAGTGTAATAAGACTTAGCACGCTTAACCGTTCAGTCAGCGCGTGGCAGCCGCAGAGCAAAGGCGTTCGTACATGTTTGTTTGCTGTGGCCGCGTGCACCATGGCGTGTTCGCAAGAAAAAAAAGTACTTTTCAATATTATCGATTTGTACCGAGACATGCCATATTTATGGCTGAAAAGGCATAAAGATTATTCGAATCAACCACTTCGTACTGAAGGATACCGGGTGTTGTTGGAAATCTATAAAACCTTTGATAACATGGCTACAGTCCAAACAATAAAAAAGAAGTTGATGAACATGCGCACCAATTACAATAAAGAATTGGCTAAGGTATGTACCTACTTAATTCCTTTGTTATGTGTTTTATTCGTCCCAATAAAAACAGGTACCTACCCTAACATACGATAAAACGCACCTGTATAACGAACGCTAGGGAACCTTAGTTTAGCTATAAATCGGGCATTTTGAATTGATCGTTTCAAGCTTCAAAATGCATAATTGTGTTTTCTTACAGGTAAATGCTGCGAAACAAACTGGCGCAGGGACAGATAAAATGTATGTACCAACTTTATGGTATTACGACGCGTTAAACTTTCTTGGGTCAAGGAGTGGACCATGTCGCATAACACCAGAGAGCATCAAAGATGAGGTAAATTGTATTCAATTCTTTATACCAACTTCGAAAACGCGAATAAAAACAGCTGTTTCGTGGAAATATTCAAAATTCAAGACCAATATCCCGATATGTATGGAACAGATGTTTTTTTTTCGCGTATTTCGAAGTTGGATAGTTAAAGTTGTTAGTAGGTGCAGTACATTGACCCATTTAAATTTTTATGGTATTATGAAACAGCCTGTATTTTATTTTTATACTATAGACTGTTGCGCCTAATGGGTTCGAGGAACAGTACAATGTCTGTCGGGTCCACTAGTAAAAAGTATAATATTTCTTGTATTAAGCATTATTTAATCAGGTAAAATGCTAGATATAACAAATATTATGGTGGTACAACATCAATCATTCGGTCTTGGAAACTAACTGGTCCAACAGAATTGAAATAGTCCATGAATTTATTGCGAACAATATTGCCATCTTCATTACGCTGCCTAGTTGAAGAACGCTGTAATGAAACTAAGGGTGCAGAGGTTTGTATCCAATCTCCTTCGCGAAACGTACCCTGTCTTATATTTTCTGAATCAATATTAGAATGACATATGTAAGTTGGTACTCGTTTCCTCAGAAAGTTGTGCAGAGCGCAACATGCCAACACCACAGCATCCACATTCTCCAGATCTAGAACAAGTGGTCTACGCAATACTCTAAAACGGGAACTCAGTATGCCAAAGGCATTTTCAACCACTCTCTTGGCTCGCGATAATCGATATTTAAAAATCCTTTGCATCCGATTAATATTTTTAAAAGGAAATGGTTTCATGAAATTTTTATTCAATGCGAATGCACTATCCCCCAGAAACATGTATGGTACAATTTCGTCTGTGCCTGGCAGTGGAGATGGACATGGCAAATTTAAAGAATTGTTAATCATTTTCTTATGAAATTTTGTACATTTTAAAATTGCTCCATCTGCAACGGATCCATTGGTGCCTGTGTGTACATACATGAATTCGTAGTTAGCATTTACAACAGCAAACAGTACAATACTGAAGAATCCCTTATAATTGTAAAAGAAAGGGCCACTTTCGTGGGGTTTTTCTATAGCGATATGCTTCCCATCACATGATCCAACACAGTGACTGAAATTCCATTTTGTTTCGAATTCCTCAGCAATTTCTTTCCACTCTGTTTCATTTCCAGGTATCTGGAACAAAAAAAAAATTTAACTGTATTTTTAGGGCTCCAATTCATCTGACGAAGACTTTCCAAGCCAGCAAATCGGATCGATTGCTTCAACTTCTAGAGGACATAGAGGACGTAAAGAAAAAAAAAGAAACACTTCTACAAAAACAAGAAAAAATTATGAAATCTGCTGAAGCAATGTTATTAAATAAAGAAGAAGAACACTGGGAAATATTTGGAAAGTCTGTAGGCTTGCAATTAAAGGATATAAGTGGAACACAACTGATATTTACTCAAAAAATTATGTCCGATGTTGGTCAAATAAAACACCATTCCTAAGGCTGCCAGTCCACCAGAGCGGAGCGAGGCAGCGGAGCCGAGAAACGGAGAAATATTAACCAATAGGATTGCACAAAATCTCCGCTCCTCTTAAGTGGACAGGGACTTGCGAGCTAGTTTAAAATTTCATATAAAACCGGTATGCGGAGCGGGGAAACGGAGCGGGGATGCGGAGCGGGGAAGCGAGTGCGGGCGCGGGCGCACTTTGCGCCGGCAGTGTGCCGCCGTATTCCGACCAGTGCGTATGTGACCGAAGATAATGGATGAAAAACTTATTGAAAGTGTGAAAAAGTTTCCGTGCATTTGGAACACATCTTCAGAATTTTACAAATGCAACGAAACAAAAGATGCTGCGTGGGACCAAATTATCATTGAAACAAACATATCGGATGGTAAATAATATGTATCTTTATTCTATAATACCTTCTAGTAGGTACATATTGATATCTTTTTTTTTATTTAACAAAATAGCCTATATAATGTAATAGCCTAAATAGTTAAATAATGTCCGCAGCTGGCCAAATTATCTATATCTGTCTCACATCACTGACTATTATAGATTCTTTTCAAAATTCGAGTATCTTGCCATGGTACCTTCCCCTGATTATTAAAGTATGAACAATACATTTCACGAACTTGATAACCATCGTTACTAGAATGTTGTGTTTCTATAATATCACCAACTGATAATAATGATTGCTCCATGTTATTTTCAATATTGTTTATATAATTAGGTTGTCTTTGAATTAAATAATTGTGCAAAACACATGTTGCTTTTATTACCTTGTCAACTGTTTCTATTTTGCATTCAAAATCTTTATGATACACGTACCACTTTCTCGTCAATACACCGAAAGTTGCCTCAACAATACGACGTGCTCTTGATAATCGGTAATTAAAAATTTTTTTTTCTGCGTTAAGTCCATCACGTGGGTAAGGCCTCATAAAATTTTCCATTAATGGAAAAGCTTCGTCTCCTATAAATACGAACGGCATTTTTGCTCCACCTTGATAAAATGGTACCGGCTGAGGTAAATTCAATCTCTTTTCTTTTAGACTCTTTCCGAAAATGCTGTTATCAAAAATTCCTGCATCAGAAAATCTTCCCATAGATCCCACATCAGCCATTATGATTTTCCTTTTGGCATCAGCTAAACACATCAATACTACAGAAAATCTCTTTTTGTAGTTGAAAAACGAGGACCCGGTTTTCGAGGGAGCCTTGATATATACGTGCTTGCCATCAAGAGCACCTATACAATTTTTAAATTGCCATAGTTCATCAAAATCTTTTGCGATTTCTTTCCAGTCGTTTTCTGTTGGTTGTGACATGACAAGAGGTTGCAATATATTCCATAAAGCATCACAAACCTCCTCAACAATTCTTGATACACTTTTCAATCCAATTCTAAAATTCTCTCCCATCGTTGTAAATGACTGGCCGGTTGCTAAATACCTAAAAAAAAACGTATTTAATTGTACTTCGCGTAAGTGATGTAATATTTTTGTCATAAATAGACCATGTAATACATTTTTGTGTTTGTTGATTGTTTCAGTTACAACTGCCAAGTCGCGATGGAAACAACTGAGAGATAACCATCGGGATGCCTTAAAAAGACAAAATGCAACAAGGAGTGGACAGGCTAGAAAACAACGAAAAGAATGGAAATATCAAAAAGCCATGTCATTTTTATTGCCTTACATGAGTAACAGAGACCGGTCAACAAATTTTACGCCCCTGGACCACTCAGTAAGCGAAACTTCAAATCCGCCAAATACCATTGAAGAGAGTTCACGGGAATCATGCAATTTTTGCCATCAAATTCAAATAATCTTCCTTCTGCCGATGATCCTAAGAATCCAACAGCTTCGGAATCTCTTCCATCAACATCCAAAAAAGAAAGAACGATGAAATTCTAGATTATTTAAAAAAAATCAAGAACGCCGCGAAGTGTTGGAACGAGAACGGATAGAACTTAAAAACATGATGTCAGCCAGTGATAAATACGATGAAATAGACTTATTTTTTTAAATTTGGCTGCATCGACAAAAAAAGCTGCCGTATTATTTTCAACTTCAAATTAAAAAACCTGCTTTAATGCGGTAATGTCAGCTGAAGAAAGTAATCTTCAACATAGTTGGTATTCACCGAATAATTATGGTTATTCTACAGGCTCAACACCTACATCAGATAACATCAACACTAGTATCGATACTCCTAGTGCTTCAGATAATATCAACACTAGTATCAATATTCCTAGTGCTTCAGATAATATCAACACTAGTCTTAATATTCCTAGTGCTTCAGATAATACCAACACTAGTGTCAATATTCCTAGTGCTTCAGATAATATTAACACTAGTATCATTAATCCTAGCGCTTTACAAATTCCAACAACCCAGGATATTGAAACATCTGCAGCAGAGCCAACAGAACCCAATGAAAATGCGGTCAATTTTGAGACAGATTACGATTTTTAAATTAATATAACATGGCTTCTATAACTGTATGCAAAAATAAAAGTTACTTTGATTTAAAATGTGTACTTACTTTAAACACACCGCTAATCTTTCACGGCTACTAATTGAATTTCTGTAATTTGTGTCTTGTTTCCGAATATATGGTTCAATCAGGGAGTGAAGTTCATAAAAAGTACATCTTGAAACTCTATAAGAATTTTCGAAAGTTTCTTCATCAGCTGTTTGGAAAAAGTAAAATATTCACTGTGTTCTGAACGATGTTTGATATGATTTCTTAACCAAAATCTATGTTTCCTCATAGAATTGTTCAAATGGTATATGGTAAGTATTTCGGCTTCTTCTGACTCCAACTCTTCTTCCTCAAGCAATGTAAGGTAATAATGTATCAACTTTTTCGATGGCATGTCTGCTATCACTGACATTTCGCGTAGAATTAAACCAATCGCCCCACGCCGGGAGCTCGAAATCACTCGTCGCGTACTTGCTGCCTAGCTCCGCATATTGAAAAACACAGCAACTCCGCTCCGCATTACTTCCTCACTCCGCTCCGCAGCCTCGCTCCGCTCCGGTGGACAGTCACAGTACGCAACTCCACTCCGCATTAGTCCGTTTCTCGGCTCCGCTGCCTCGCTCCGCTCTGGTGGACTGGCAGCCTAAGGCTGAGAATATTTAATACAAAAAACAATTGAGATACTTATACTATTTTTGAATCAAAACGATACCGCGATTCAAGGAACCACAGGCGACATCTATTGGTTGAACATAAAACTATAATAATTTAAACATACCGCGATTCAAGGAACCACAGGCGACATCTATTGGTTGAACATAGAACTATAATTATTTAAACATACCGCCCACCATGGACAGAATGTACATCACTTCCGCCCACCGTGAATAAACTGTAAACAAGTAATCGTAGTGGACTGTAATAGAGTTTAAAAAGTTCGTACAAGCCTTTCACAGTAGCTAGAAGTGACAACATACCTATTATATTATACAACAACAAAAAAATAAAAAACAACAACATCAGATTTACCCAAATATCTTACTTCGTCACAGGCAATACACATAATTTGGTTATAGGACGCTTAAAGATAACATCCTTACATTTAAGGCTAACAACCCTCGTAATATTGTCCGAACCTGTATGTTTATCCGTTATAATCCCTAATAACCATTTTGCTGGAGGAAGATTATCCTCTCGAACTAGAACAATATCACCAACATTCGGTTCTGGTTTTTGATGTGCCCATTTGTAACGTTGCATGAACTGCGTGAGGTATTCATTTGACCACCTACGCCAAAAATGCTGCAGCAACTGTTGCGTTAGCTGCCAGCGCTTTAGTGAAGAAACCGATGAGGTTTCATAATTGCTGTCCGGCACCAAGACCAATGGCTCTCCGACAAGAAAATGTCCTGGGGTAAGAGGTGTAGGATCTTGTGAGTTCACACTTATTTGTGACAATGGTCTGGAATTGAGACAGGCTTCTATTTGGTACAGAAGAGTGCTCATCTCTTCAAAAGACAACGTCTGAGTACCTATCACTCGTTTTAGGTGGTGTTTGGTGGATTTTATTCCAGCCTCCCATAATCCACCGAAATGTGGAGCATGAGGTGGAATAAAATGCCATGTTGTTCCATTTGTTGCCAAACTCTCAGCAATTTCTATTGCCAATGATGACTTTTCTTTGGACCACAATGTTTTGAGTTCGCGTGCGGCACCTACAAAATTTGTACCATTATCACTGTATAGGTCAGCGCAATGCCACGTCTGGCCACGAAACGCTTGAATGCGGCCAAAAAACCTTGCGCTGTAAGGTCGCTTGCAACCTCCAAATGTACTGCTCTAGTTGCCATACACACAAACAAACATACATATCCTTTGTATGCTCGATGGCCTCTACCTTTGGATGTTCTTATTAAAATAGGACCCGCATAATCCAGGCCGCTTCGATGAAAAGGACGAATTGGAGTTACACGTGAAGGAGGTAACTGTCCCATAAGTTGGTCTCTTGCTTGTGCAGCGTATCGTACACATCGAACACAATTTCGAACGAATAACTTTGTACGAGTTTTAATATCTAAAATCCAGTATTTGGACCGAATATAGTTTATCATTAATTGCGGCCCGCCATGCAAAGTTTTTTCATGAGCGTCCGCTATGATCAAGTCGGTAAGATGTGATTTTGATGGCAAAATCACTGGATGTTTTCTGTCTATGTTGAAGTCAGCTCTTTCAAGACGACCACCAACTCGCATGATACTTTCACGATCCAAAAAAGGAGTCAATACGGTAAGTTTACTTTTCTTATAAATTGTTTTATTATTTCTTAAATCATTGATTTCCAGAAAAAAGTACTCATTCTGACATGCTCTTATAATAATATGTAATGCTTGATTTAGTTCTTTATTAGTTAACCATATAGGAAAACTCTCTTCAGGTCGCTTTAATTTGTTTATAAACCTTCTACAGTAAGCAAATACTCTCAATGATTTCCTTAAAGTCGAAAAATTTGTCCAAAAAATGTTTTGACTACTATCCACCACATGGCATGCCTTCAAACCCTTTTCTTCTAAATTTGTTTCATCAACGTTCCTCCGGGGATAGTTTATAGTTAGTTCGCTCAGCCACATTGGACCATTTTTCCATAAATTAGCCGCTTCACATTCTGATGGACGGATGCCTCGCGAAGCGCAGTCTGCTGGATTTTCAGTAGATATTACATGTGCCCATTGATCTCTATTTAAAATACTCAAAATCTCTGAGACTCTGTTTGCAACAAAGGTCTTCCAACGGCTTGGGTGACTACTTAGCCAAGCTAAAACAATGGTCGAGTCGGTCCAAGCGCGCAAATTTTCGTTTTGCACGTGTAGTACTTCAGCAACCTCTCTTAATAGTTTTACTAACAAAACGGCACCACAGAGCTCCAGTCGTGGAATAGAAATTTGTTTAATAGGAGCTACCTTCGTTTTACAAGTTATCAAATGCACATGTACCTTTCCTGATCCGTCAATCACTCGTGAGTAAACTACAGCAGCGTAAGCATCATTGGAAGCATCACTGAAACCATGAAGCTCCATGTGGCGGTGTTTTTGAGTTATTCCAATCCATCTTGGTAAATGAAACTTGGTAAGTGTTATAAGTTCTTCACGGTAAGTCATCCATTCATTTAATAGTTTTTGCGGTAGCTCTTCATCCCAACCGATTCCTGCAAGCCATAGTCGTTGGATAAATATTTTTGCTTTGACTATGATTGGAGCTATCCATCCCATTGGATCAAACAACTTGGCAATGTCACTAATCACCTTTCTTTTTGTTACCGGGTAACTGACCGGCAGAAGCTGCACAGAATAGTCGAAACTATCAGTACGTCGATTCCAGTTAAGTCCGAGAATTTTTATCACTTCATCCATTTTTAATTCCATATTTTCTTTTATAGCTTCATTATTCTGGTTTATTTTATTTAATACTTCTACACTATTGCTTGACCATCGTTGAAGTTTAAATCCAGCTTTATTTAAAACTTTATTGATTTCGAAAAACAATTCTTTCCCTTCGGAAATCGTTTGGCAGCCCGTTAATAAATCATCCATGAAAAAATCGTTCAAGATACAGTGGTAAGCTACTGATTTTTCCCCTTCATCATACGCTGACTGGCGCAGAGCTCTTACCGCTAGAAAAGGTGCTGACGCCGTACCAAATGTTACCCTCAACAAACGTAAATGTTGAATGTCTTCTTGAGGGTTGTTCCGCCACACTAACCGTTGATAGTCGATATCACTCTTATCTACTTTTATTTGATGATACATCTTAATGATATCAGCAGCGAGACATATAGGATGGAGTCTCCATCTCATAACTGTGTGGCGTAGCTCAGCCTGTAAAGTGGGCCCCACCATCAATTCACTGTTTAAAGATACGCCATTGTGGTCAGGACACGAAGCATCGAAAACTATTCGTAATTTGGTTGACGGTTTGTCCGCTCTGATAACTGCATGGTGAGGTAAGTAAACACTTTCTGATTTATTGACCTCTTCTGTTGGTACCACCTCCATAAATCCGAGGTCTAAATACTCTTTGATAACATTACCGTACTGAACTTTTATATCTGGAGTTTTTAATAAGCGTTTTTCGAGTGATAAAAATCTTCTGATCGCTATTTGTCGTGAATTTCCGTACTTGCATACTGGATCGACACTTTTAAATGGAAGTTTAACGACATAACGACCAGACAAGTCTCTTGATGTTGTTTGTTTAAACAAATCTTCGCAACGTTGTTCTTCAGGTGTAAATTGCTTGTTAAGACAAAATTTGTCAGATTCGATTTCCCAGAATTGTTTCAAATCAAACTCTTCGTATTTTACACCAGCATGATGGGAGGTTATATTATGACATCTCGAAGATTCGTCATTGGTATTGTTAATTTCACCAGAAACTATCCAGCCAAACCTCGTGTTTTGGGCAATGAGAGATCCTTGCGGACACTTCATTAAGCCTTCAGTTAAAATATGACAATATACCTCCGCTCCCAGTAAGAGGTCTATTTGGTTAGGTACGTTAAAATTTGGGTCTGCTAGCGTCATTCTTGGTAGAGTTGACCACAACTTGTTCATAAACTTTCTTTCAGGAAGGAATGACGTTAGTTTCTTGAGTACATAAGTCTTGACATTGATGGTAAAAGTCGGATCTTGAATTGATTGTAGTTTAATAAAAACTGCATATTTGGAATTCAGTGATGTGTTCTCATCACCTCCTACCCCCGTAATGACACTATTGGTATGTATTTTCTTCAGTCCAAGAAGTTGGACTGCAGACTCCGTGATAAAGGATGCCTGTGATCCTTGATCCAATAAAGATCTTAGTGTCATTTGAGATCCGAGATTTGTTTCAGCTTTCACTAAAGCTGTTGCCAATAAAACTTGATTCTTATTGCTAGAGAAACAAGTGGTAATTTTAGTTTCTACGATCTCGCCTGTTGTTGTAGCTGTTGCTGCCACAACACTAGTATCTCCTGATTGTAATGTTACATCAGGATTGCTTGAATGTAATAATGAATGGTGTTTCCTTTGACAGATGCGACACCTAGTGGGCAAACGACAAGATAAAACCGTATGATTTGAACCTAGACAATTATAACATAAATTTGAGGTTTGGACAAATTTACGACGGGCAGATATATCTTCCTTTGCAAATTTCTTACAATTTCCCAATTTATGACTATTTTCGAAACAAAAAGAACATGAAACAACATTTTTATCTCTATTATTACTTATAACATGTGCTTGAGTAATTTTTATATTTTTAGAATCTAAGAATTCCAACGCCCTAAACCTATGCTCCAAAAACTCTAAAAATTGGCTTAATGTTGGCAATTCACTGGTCAAATCACAAATCCTAGACTCCCACTTTTTACGAGACTCGGTATCTAACTTTAATACTAAGATATAAATGACTATAGAATCCCAATTCTCGGTATTTACTCCCACATTTTTTAAAGCATGAAGACACTCGTTTGTTGTATCAAAAAGATTTTTTAAAGCACTTGACATTTCATGTACAATATTTTTCTGACTAAAAACTTCTTTAAAATACAATTAGTTGCATATCTCTTATTATTAAACCGATGCTCTAACAGTTCCCAACACACAGCATAGTTATCACTAGATATTGGTAGATGACGCAAAAGCTGCTCAGCTTCTCCCGATAAATAACTTTTTAAATAATGGAGTTTCTGGACATCCTGTAGAGCTTGATTATTATGAATGAGAGATACATAAAGATCCCGAAATGTTGCCCACCCTGCATATTTTCCCGAAAACATTGGGATAGCAATTCTAGGTAATTTGACCCCACTCTGCTCTGCATCATGACTCGCTTCTGAAGCTGAAGAAGTTTTCTTCTGTGCTTGAACACATATTTTTAAACACTCCTTTAATTCAGACTTATAATCAGTATACAATTCCTCAACTAAACCATAAATATCCTTAATAAAATATCCCGACATTTCTAAATCATCCTTTTCTGATTCGCATATTAGTTTCTGATGCGTTGTGTCGAATGATTCCCAATACTTCTCCAAAGTCTCAGTTCGTGTTTCAATATAACACACAGTTATTCTGTCCTTCGGAGATTTTTTAAAGTTGGTAAAGGCTCGCTGAATTTTCTTTTGTATATCTTCTAGTAGTCTTATCAACGAATCCATTATAAATATCGAAATTTTTTTATTTTTTAATCAGTGAGCAAATTTTTATAAGTCCGGTATAGGTGAAATTTTTCTAAGTCCAGTTTACTCGAAATTTTTATAAGTGTTTAGTTATTATTAACTTAGGAAAAATTGGTCATGGATTCCCCGTATAACCACTATTTCGGTTAAAATTTTACAAGTCCATTCACACTGTTAATTTTCTAAGACATTTCTTCCTAGTGGTTAAGGGTTATTTTTGCTTGTCACCTCTTCTACTGCTTAATATAGATTTTCTACTTACAGTTTTAGACTATACCAATTTTGCTCACTGACTTTTAGCTGGAACTGCTCTACTCCGTTTCTCCACCAGATGGCACCACTGTCGCTTAATTCTTCATTATCCGACTCGAATGACCATGATCAAATAAAACACCATTCCTAAGGCTGAGAATATTTAATACAAAAAACAATTGAGATACTTATACTATTTTTGAATCAAAACGATACCGCGATTCAAGGAACCACAGGCGACATCTATTGGTTGAACATAAAACTATAATAATTTAAACATACCGCGATTCAAGGAACCACAGGCGACATCTATTGGTTGAACATAGAACTATAATTATTTAAACAGATGTAATTTATAATGCTAAACTTGAACGACTCTCTGAAGATTCTTGTCTACTCGTCACACCATCGGAAATAAGACATACATTGAACAGATACAACTATCAGATACCCTTCATCCAATCACAAGTATCAAGTTATTCTTCCCCGTCCCCATACAACCGACAATCTCCTAACTTGCCACACAAACGTCCATCATCTCGCAATTATCCATCACCCTCACCGAGTCCTTCATCATCATCTACAACACAGTATCATCCATCAGAAGTTCAGTCGCCACAACATACAATCCAATCTCCACAACACACAATTCAGTTTCCACAACAATCATTCCAGTTGCCACAACAGTCAATCCGATCGCCACAACACATAATTCAATCACCACAACAAGAAGTTCAGTCGACACAACAGACAATCCAATCGCCACAACACACAATTCAGTTTCTACAACAAGGATTCCAGTCGTCACAACAAGCAATCCAATTGCCACAACAGACAATCCAATCGCCACAACACATTTCAATCACCACAACAAGCAATCCAGTCAGCACATCATTCATTTCACCACAACCCTGAAGATTTTCTAGAATACATTCAAAATGATTCAGGATCTATTATTTCCCCATCTATAGTAGAAGGGAGTGCTCATTTAATGAAAGATTTTTTGATATTCAAGCCGACGAAAAAATAATTTTCTATTTAATTTACTCATTGCTTTTATATTAATGTCCTTGATTTGAAAAATAAATGTTAAATTGAAAAATAATATAAGTACTGTGTTTTTACTCACCTTGATCAAATGTTTTAAGCATTTGTAGATAGCTCGGCACGTTTCTGGTATTATTGACGAAGACTTTGAGATATCAACTAAACCTTAGGTCTTGATAGGAGTTGCCCGTTGCCAGGAATCTTAAAGTAACTACCAATCTTTGTTTAGCACTGACACTTTGTCTAAGAACCGTATCTTCTTTTTGAATGTATGGAGTAACTAATTTCAATAGACATTCAAACTCGGCAACTCCTACTCTAAGGTAGTTTCTTAAGTCACATGGTTCCAAAACACTTAGTATTTGCATATTTGATAATTTTTCTCGCAAAAGTAAATACTCTTTCACCCATTTTTTCTTTTCTTTTTTGTATTTAAATTAATAGACGCGGCAAGAGCTATGGCGATTTTCTGGTGCTTTGAAAGTTTTCCCATCGCGAGACAACCGTCACCGACTACGTACGCTTTGCAAATGAGTAAAATGAGTTAGCTTGCGGTATTCAGTCCAGTGTAATAGCGAGCTTGTCTAGTTAGATTTTAAAGGTCGATTCACACATATCAGTGAGCCCACAGTTCCGGAACAGTACCGCATCAGTGATAATTATTCTTTCAAACATTCTCTATGGATGTATTCACACTTGTTAGTGTCAGTGTCGTCTCAGTACCGTCAGTGTCAGTGCCGGCACCGGCCATCACGGACGTGATCGGCGACAACGATATTTTATCACGGATCACTGACGCCGCTGCATCGAAAACAAAATGGAGGACGAGGTGTTGATTGAATTAGTTCGTGAGAATACTGTTTTGTATGATTTATCTCATGCAAAGTATATGGATACAAAATACAAAAACAATTTGTGGAACAAAATAGGAACACAAATGAATGTAGACGGTAAGTCAAAATTTACTTATCTACAGTGCTATTGTAAAGAGGAAAGATTAGATTTTTGTCTATGTGTTTGAACCTACAAACTATTGGACCGATTTTAAAAGATAGTAGATTTTATAGTAATCCGACGCAAAAAGATTGTTGCATTTGAAATACAACATGTGAGAAGTCGAGCTGGGCCGCTAGTTTTAAAATAAAATAATACAGTGTAAGTAAGTTGCTTTATTTTAATAGACAAAGTACAAATCATATTTTGTCTTCTTGCCAGGGTACTGATCCTGCCCCAGAAATAAAATAATTTTTGAATACTTATCTAACGTGAAATGCGCCCGCTGTGGCGTTTCCGCCTTGAGGTTGCACAGTTTCCAGTAAACTGCTTGTATGAGGTTGATTACCCTCATAATCTGATGCATGTGTTGTATTTGGATTGAAATATTTGATGAAGTTATGTAAAATACAAGTAGCGAGTACTATATTATCTACATTTTCTGGGTTAGCTTGGATCCGTCCATTGTATATTCTAAACTTTTGTGTTAATATACCGAAAGTATTTTCAACAATTCTTCTTGCTCTTGATAAACGATAATTAAAAATGCGCTTGTCGTCATTCAAATTTTGCCCTGGATAAGGTCGCATTAAATATGTTTTGAGAGGAAATGCTTCATCTCCCACAATCACGTGTGGTGTTTCTATTGATGTTCCTGGCAACGGAGAATTTCCAGGTATACCTAAAGTTCCTTGCTGTAGTCTTTTTCCTAGGTTCGTCCGCACTCCCACACCATCACCAAGCCATGTATCCACTCCATCACCACCATCACTGTCGTCTCCATCTACTACATCTACTTTAAGAAAGAGAAAAGGTTCGACAAAATGCACACCAAAACCATCCTCAGCATCTTCATTAATGGAATATGTTCTTCAAAAAAATCAAGAAAAAGCTGAACGCGTCGAGCACCCAGTTGATGCTTTTTTAAATGAAGAAGAATTTGAATCAATATTACTTAAATTTGGCTAAGACTGAAATATTTACTACTGTGCAAAAATATGAGATGAAGATGATGACAGAGAAAAATGTACAATTATATCCAAGCGATATTGCAACTGAACCAACAAATACAATGATTCTTAAGTTGGCGGGGGGCAATTAATTTTTTGCACTTTTTTTAGCTCTATCAACTGTTCGTTAACTGTTCTTCATTGTTCTATCAAAAAAAATTTTTGTTCCTTTTTTTTTTTTTAATTATAAAAAAATTTACCCTCAATTTGGCACGAACTATAGATATTTTTTTTTTTTTTTCTAATAGTTTAGAACTATTCAATAACTGTTCGTTCAAAATAAACAACTGTTCGGCTTTCATTATCCTGTAATTTAATAATAATTAACTTTTTTTTATAAATCTTAATTAAATGTTATTGCGCATTGATTATTATCGCTCTCGTGAAAATTCATATTAATTAATAGTTTCTCGATTTTAACCATGACGTGGATATATGTATGGAGTATGGAGAGATAATAAACAAAATACTCCACTTTATACATAAGTATTATTTAAAAAAAATATTGTTTTATTTCACTAAAAGTGATTGATTACAGTTGATAAACAAACATTCATCGTTTCTTCTCAGAAAGTTAGTATGAAATGTTGATAATACTGATACAACAATATTGTAGCATAATACTCTTTATTATTTACTTTCGCAAATTTAATGAAAAATATATTATTATTTTTTGTAGACAAAGGAATGTATTTCATTAAAAAAATTTTTAATGAAACTCTTCAGTGATTTATTCCAAAATAAATTTCGTGAAGCAACTATGACATATTTCTTTGGTAATTTTGGGACCACGTGCTTCCACAATTTTTTACTTAAAATGGCTTGGTCAGTTTTAATTAATTGTCAGTTACAACAATATTATACATTTATTATAAAATAGTTTATCTACGTTTGAAATTTTAATCATTAAAGGCCAGTTTTTAATTCGGAATAAAACTAATTTGTTACAAAACGAATTTTTTGAAATTAATTTGTTACAAAAATTCAAGACATTGTCAAATATCTACTGATTGTGATATAATTTAGTTATTTTATTTAAATAAATGAGTAAAAAATAATATACATCGAAGCTAGATATCGTTAAATCATTGGTCTTATAAGTTTAACAAATATTTAATTTTATAAATAAATGCTAATATTAATATCAGAATTATTGTATTAATGAAGTGTACTGATTATTTTAGATTTGAAACCCTAAGTCAGTGAATCCACAAAAAACTCAATAGTTTTAAATTAAGGAACAAAAACAGGTCTGACAAATCATTTATCAAACCAACAAAAAAATGTCGCAGATAAATGTATACAGTGAAAAAATTAGCAGAGAAGTTGCGAGTACTTCTGCAGCCACATTATCTGCCACCAACAGCTTGACAGACCTAGCGAGCCTGTTCGCTAATAATTAAGCGTAAGAATTAAAAACAAACGATGATAAACTTGTAATAATTCAATTTCTTTATTTGTTTAGATAATATTTGGACGTTTTGATAGAGAAAGTTGCGAATGACGTCATTTTCCCGTGCAAATATTACACACCAGGATGTACAATGTTTATGGTATATATAGAGAAGCTGGACTACGAAAATGCATGCGAATTCCGTCCTTATAGTCGTCCGTGCCCTAATGCTTGATTCAAGTTGAAAGACTCATTAGAGAAAGTCATGTCTCATCTTGTTATAAATCATAAATGTATTACTACAATGCAAGGTAATTATTATTTGAATTGTTTTTATTGCTCTCCTGTCCCAATTATTGGATAATTATTATGATACTTAATTATTAATTATCAGCAATCTGCAGTGAGAAAATAATTACACAGAGTTGCGAATCAGGTATTAAAAAACTTGGGCTTAGTAATTTGTCAGTATTTTTAAGTAAACTTCATATTTAATAGTTTTGAGTACTTTTGAAATAAATGTAAAAAAAAAATATTGCTATGGCAGGATCAATTATCAAAAATTTGATGAACAAACTTATAAAATAAAAGAATAAACTTGTAAAATCAACAAACTATTGAAATCTTCACCAAAAAATTGATATAAATAAACAATAATTAAAAAAATTAAATTCACTCTTTAGTAGAAATCGAAGTAAAAACAAGAAACTCATTTTCAATAAAAAAATAAAACTATATTTATGGCACTGGTTAGCTAGTTATCATCTTTTCAGTATACGATTATTATGATTATTTTTCCGACCCAAATATCGACCAATAGAATTGCACCATTCGACGTCACGTGGTACAACCTACATGGTATTATACTGATAATTTTTTGAAAATTTTCTCTGGTAGTTGCTATATATAAAAAACAAAACATGATCCAGTCAAATTAACCACACGTCAAACTGACAGGTTGAATTCAATTGTGAAAATTGGAGATTTTGCATGAAAATGAGTCGATTTGGAGTTTGTTCTCTGTCCACCATCGATAAAAAAGTCAAAGGAAATGTTCCCATTAATACGGAGAAGTCAAAAAAAAACAGTTTGGAACCAATTTACTACTTTTTGTACTGAGAGGGAATACACATTGAGTGCTGAAACGAGTGAAGCGCAATTGGCAAACATTATGAAAGATTACGCTTACAATATGAAGAAAATGGATGGAGAAACCTATAAGGAAAGTACAATAAAAACAATGTGGAATCAGACTGCCAAATTACTTCAAGAAAAGTATTTGAACGATTTCGACATCAAAATCAACCCATTTTCGGATGCTGCATTCAAGACCGCTCGAGGAGCTCGTGATGCCAAGCGTAAGGCTTTACAATCTATTCCGGAAAAACGGAGGGCAAGTGCAGCAGCGTTGGAGGAAAAAGATTGGGATGCAATGACCACTGTTTGGGACGAGGAAATTCCTGATGGCCTCCAGAAAAAATTATTCATGATAATATCAGTGGAATTGGCTTGGAGAGGTGGTGAGGGCAGCATGACGTCAATACATCACTTCAAGGCAGAACAGCGAAATTACGGGGAAACAACTGGGAGAATTGAATACAATCCAATTTTCAGCAAGACCACACAAGGTGGTGATAAAAAATTATCAGACAGCAAGTGGCTGGTGGAGAATCGGGAAATCCCTGACAAGACTGTTCCAGAAATTGAGAGAGAAGAGAGATGCCAATATCAAGAGCGACAGACTATTCCTGACCCAAAATCCATTCTGGAATAAAGTTCCAGGCGCTAGGTGGTACAAGGATTCCCCAGTAGGCCAAAACACGATTTCAAAGTGGGTTAAGGAGTGTTTTATTCATTATGAAATTCTTATTTGTTAACTGTACATTTCGTCTCATGGTGCAATTCTATTGGCCGACATTTGGGACGGAAAAATAATCCCCCGAATACCACACGAGCTTCAAAATTATCTGGCATTTCCCGATAGGTTCCCTGCAAACAAATAAAGTCGTCAAGTTTTTTAGGAAATACCCGATAATTTTGAAGCTCTTGTGGTATTATAAGTGATTGTTTTATTATTAATCGATAAAGTAGATAATCTTTTTATTACGTTCTTACGAGTCAAAATAATTAATTAAATTCGTTATTTTAATTACAATATTTATGCTAAACATAAATAATAATATTTATCTGTTATTTATATTGGGAATTTTTTTCAACTATAGTGTTATTTATTTATGGGTATGGACGATATTATTATTTTTTTAACTTCATATTATTGGTATTATCATTGTAGGCTTTATTATTATTTTTATTATTATTATATTCAAACAAATGAAAATCAGTGTGAAACGTATTTTTAGAGAAATTCGAGGAACTTAAAAAGACAAAATTATCTGATTTTGATTATTGTTAAGAGAATTATAATTCTTCAAAATAATAAAAAAAAAACCTATAAATTTAACGAAGTATCATTTAAATAAAAGAATAATTAAAGTAAGTTTACTAGAATGAAATATCGAAATTATTTTATTGGCTATATCATTTTTTTTCAGGTAATTCTTTTTTGAAGTTGTACTTCTTTAGGCGCGTTATGAAAAATTGATGAGAGTGAAATTTTACGATTGCGCGCGCACCTATGACACAAAATTGGCAGTGTGATATAGCGTGCGCGAGCGAGATGGGAATAAGACAAACTACAAGTAAAAAGAAATAGAATATGCGTGAAGCTAACTTCACGCATATTCTAGCTTAGCAGCTTAACAAGAATTTTGAATGACCATGACAATTGACATCTGACAATGACATTTACCTTTTAAACAAATATAGGTGTTTTAATTATTGTTTAAAATTAATAATCATATACCTAGTTATTTTCATTATACAAAATATTTGTGAAATAATATAAAATATTTGTGAAAAAACTGTGCTAACCTTCCTGAGTGCTTCAATACAATTGAGGTTAACTATCCGTATGTATTATCGAGTATTATTGTTGATTAAAACTGAAACATGAACCATTATTCATTGCTTTTGTTTATTGCGTTTGTTACAGCAACTTTTTAGAAATATTCTACGACCCTATATATCAATAATTGAGAACAAAGATTTAAGCACGAATACTAATAAGGAGAAAATGAAGGCTTGGAGCGATATAACAGAGAAGTAAACATTTTAATAAGTACCTGCATCTCAAAAAAATGACCACATTATTTAATCAAAACATCAGATTTAATCTAGCAAATATAAGGACAAGAGACAAAAAACAATTGATGAATCAGTGGAAGTGCACTAAATTGAATAAGTACAAAAAAAGAGTTGTCATCTTATCGCCGTGAAACATCAAAAACTGGAGGTGGAACAAAGCCACCATCATCTTCTCGAGACACAATGGTTTGAAGTAGATTTCAATGAATTTGATTGTGATGGTGTCGAGGTAGGAATGTTAATTATAAATATGATGTATGGTGATGTTCAAGGTTCAACCTTTCAAGCATAGGCATATGCTTACAACATTACTTTATTCCCCTACAGGGTAGTTAGAGATATTGTAATACCTCAAAACATCCATGTTGCACTTGTAGTACCGAAACTCTGTCCTGCCAGAAGTGAGCCCATTCCCACTTATAATGGACAGTGGGTATAATACACCTTAATACCTGAGTGCGAACCACTCACCATGATACTTAAATTAATAGATGTTATTTATATATTTCAGGTTATTACAAATAAAATCATTTTGGAAACAATTGATATCCCAAAAGCAAATAAAGCCAACAATGACAAGGTAATAAATCAGTTTTGACATAACTTGAATACTAAAAAAGCCAAACAAAGGTGTGCACAACAGTGACAACATAACTTAACAATTTCATTATTTTGTAGGATTAAAGAAAGGTTAAAGAAAATCATGTCGAACTGAACAACAAGAATCCCCAAACAACTCCAAAGAAACCTACAAGGAAGACACCGGTATTATATTTAAATTATCTCTATCTCTAAATAGAATAAAAGAAAGTTGCTATCCAGGTCTGTAGCATGTGCTACAAATTATATTATTAACACATTTATATAATTATATTAATATAAATGTGTTAAAAAATTTATAATATGAATTATAAAAAATTTTAAGTTTTGCATGGACAGAGCTTAAATTAATATTCTCTTATTTGTTGCAGAAAGCAAGTAGTTTTGGAGAAGCCTCGTAGATGCACAACCAAGTAATGATTAATTTAAAATTACAAACCGAAATTCTGATGAAGACATTAGAGTCACTTAAAAATAAATAGTATAATGAAATAAAAATGTTTTAAAGATAAATAGTGTTTTATTTGTTTAATGTAAGAGAATAATAATAAATATTTATTTAATTAATTTTTCAAATGTAAACTGAACTTTATTGACTTTAATGACTCCTTTTCCAGTCTTTGATTATTTAATTGTAATTAATTATTTGCATGCAATCAAAAACTATTTTTAATAATGCCAAAGAAGTATAACTTCTTACGCGCGTACATAAGTACACGCACCCTTTTTTTTATATCATTATGCCTCCAAAATCAAGAGTATCAGTTGAAGATGCAGTTAATGTGTTACTTAGGTACATCAGTTATTTTGCGTCTGACCAATTGCCGGACTGGTCATCGGACATATGGCACATTATGTCAAAAGAACCTGAATTTGTAGGTAAATGGAACGTTCAATGTATTAGGACGAATGTTAAAGAAAATCGAAGAGAGATTCTAACCTAAGCACGCGAACAATGTGGATATTTTCATTCAACTCACAATAAAAACACGGATTGTGATGATGATAACTGGGATGATGATGACTGGGATGATGATGAAGATGAAGAAGATGATGAAAAACGTGATCCAGATTACTTTAATTATGTATATTCTAAGCAACAAAAGAATCATGATACTTTTGACGTGAAATTTTCTAGACATTTATGGAATTCAATAAATAAAATAGCTCCTATCGTGGAAAATAAACCTAATACTCTTGGATTGCAGCCTAAAGTGTGGACAGATGTATTAGCATTAGAGTTCTGGAAACAATATCGACTAAAATGTGCCTTTGTTTTTAAAAAAGCTACAATTCAGGAATATGGAAATTATTATTTAACAATCTTCGGACGTTGTAAAGCCAAAACATGTAAAAAAAAATTATTTGGATATGTAGAAGAAAATCCAGGGGACTATGGTGATGTCATAATTAAAATCAACTGCCGAGATACAAGATTCGAGAGACATGAAGACTGTAAACGACCCCTTCAAGGAAAAAGAAGAGACGAAATGAAGAAAGAAGTGAAGGAAAAAGGTGTGAAAGGGAGTAATCTTGATGCTGCTCAAAAACTTCTTCAGCCAGGTGATACTCAATGTCCGGTTATGAGTAGAGCCAATGTCTTATACCAATTGAAGAAAGAGAGTATCGAAAAAATCTTGTAAATGCACTGCTGTCTATCAATGAAACACCAATTTATCAAAGCTCTGTGATAACCGTATGTTTGAAACCGTTTTGGGTATTTTATGCTACTCCATCCCAAATTCATTGTTTTAGAGAGTATTATCGTTTGCATAGAAAATGTTCAAGAATTTGTATTGACGCAACTGGAGGAGTTGTCAAGAAATTCACTGATCCCATTAACGGACGTACAAGCGCAATTTTCTTATATTCAATAGTAATAATTTTGATGGTACTTCCTTATCAGTGTTTTAAATGCTGCCAAACACATATATTCGCTTGGACACGGCTCATTTTATTCATGCAGCTAGTAATTGGAAGTGTTGGAAGTCAGTAATCCATAAAAATGTTAAGTCATTTTACTTGTACTGTATTGCACTACTCATTGAATGTGATCAGTGGAAAGATCTAGAAAGGATTTTGATATTAACATTAATCATTTGCAATACTGAGTATGAAGATTCCATGATTTGTTATAATAATAAATTTATTACTCCTCTAGATGCTCGAGTTGAGTTGGAAAATCTTATCAGCAACAGAAAAACTAAAATTTTAATAGATGACATGGAAGAAAAAATAAAAACTATGGATTTTAGTACGGATAAAAGTGACATTTTAAATGACACTTGTTTTGAAAGCTCATGTGACAATAATGTTACAATTAAATTATGGGCAGATAATCTTGCTTCGCATTCAGACAATATTCAAAATATTGGTACCATATTAAATTGTTTTTATGTTCCATTATTTAAAGAACCATTGATACATATAGCCAAAGAATTCCCTTTATGGACCAAAGTTTGTGTCCCAAATAAAAAGTTACGCCCAACGTCTTCATATATCGAAGAGGATTTCAAGGACTTGAAGATTATGTTGAATAAACAAATCACTTTACCAGCACGTATAGATATTTTCGTAAAGGCTCATCTTAAAAATCTTTTGGGCGGGGTCGTTTTACTTCAAAATAAAATTACAAAATTCGTTGATGACAATCTTAATAAATCATCAATATCAGTTGAAAATTTAAATTGCCATGATAAAAAGTCTGAAGAGAAATTAAACAATAATGATACGTTTCAGGACATTTTACAGAACGAAAATTGGCGAGGATTAGGAAATAACCCGAAACATGCTAATAAAGAGTGGATGAATTATGAAAACGATGTTAAATTTTCCTGATCAACGTGATTTAGACGAAAATTTTAAAGATGATATGGCTAGTGAGAAAAAAAATATTTCAAGTATGGACATTAGTGATAACGATATTCTGATGAAATCTATAAATAATGACCACGATTATGATGCAACAGCTAATACTCCATTAAGTGATAAAATTTATGAAGATAATACATTAGATGTCGCTCTTGAGAAAATCACAAAAGAAGGTAAATAGTTCCAAGACTGTCCTGAATTAAAATTGGTAAATAATATGATTAAGTCTGAAAATAACAAAGAAAATGCTTCAGCTATTAAAAAAAAGGAATTCGTAAAGAAACTTACCTATTAATAAATGGAAATAAAAGTGGGCCAATTGTTTATAAAAATATGCATTTTTTAATTCAAAACACATGTCCATTCGATTCTATAATTCAATTACTTTTTAATGGAGTACTGGAAAATGAAAGCTTCAAATGAATATGAGAATATGCAAATGGATCTGAAAATTCGAGTTTTAAACTTGCTTTAAATTTAATGAAAAATTGCGTTAAGAAGAACCCGAAAATATACGAATATATGAACGATTATCTATTTTGCATAAATTTTATCAGGAAATAGAACCAAGGCAAAAAATGCAGTGGACATCGGACGAAGAAAAAAGTAAAGCTCTTGTCATATCACGTGTAATTGACTGTAATGACAATGTGACTAGATTATGGAATAATTTGTTTCAAGACGAGCCTAGTTTATTCGAAAATTTTCTATGTGAATCACAACAGTGTAATTTTCGATTGAGTAAACCGGCAATAGGTGTAGATTATCATGTTCTACTGAAAAATGGAATTCAGGATTTGCAGTCTGCGTTGATTTTTCGCGGTTCTTTTAAAAAGCTTTGTCCGGTTTGTAAAAGTATACAAACTTGTGAACAAAAGCTCAACATGTATATTTATATTGAGCTAGACATACGGTTGCGTAACGATATTAAAGGCTTATCATGTAAACTAAGAAATTTTCCCATTATTTTAAGTATCAAAGAAAGTCAAACTAAAGTCATACGGTATCGGTAAGTATAATTTTATTATATTTTTTGTAAGATACAAAAATTTTTATATTGATATTAATTTCTATTTCAGTTTGTGTGGAGCTATTGGTCATAATGTGAATCATTATATTGCATATTGTCGAAGATTGTCAGGAATTTGGCGATTCTATAACGATATGTTACCAGCATCACAAATAATAGGTGATCATTCTGAAATTGTGCCACATGGAGTACTTTATTTACGAGAAAATTCAGTAGACGAATGAGTAATTTTATTGCAATTTTATGTTTTGTTATTACGATGTCAAAATGATTTTTATTATGTTACCAAAAACATACTATTTAATGTTAAATTTTATTTAAAAAAAAATTTTATATTTGTAATGGTAGTACAATTGTTAAAGCAGAGTTCTTAAATTTTCAAGAAATTTTATTAATATATATTACCAAAAATATATTGAAAAATTTAATTTCTTAGATTATTTTTCTGCATGATTATTAAAAATATTATTTTATACTCAAATATATGCTTAGGTCAAAAAATGAAGAGAAAAGTTCATAAAAATTTAATTATTTGATTAATTCAGTAATGTTATCTGTCATAGTTATTTATTATAAAGTTAAAATCTTAAGTGTTTAGTTTACTAATATATCTATCGTTATTTAATGATTGTTCTTTGGCTAGTTTAAGTGCATCGGTGTACAGCATTTTAAACTCTATTCAAAACCAGCTGATTTTTGCTATATTTTTCATATAATTATGAATAATTTATAATAAGGGCTTACGATGTGATTATTTTTAACAACAATAAAAGATGTATTGATAATAAAGAACTTTTCTTGTTATTTCTTTTATCTGATAAAAAAGTCTAATAGATTATTCATTAATTGTGTATTTTTTCTGATTTGTTTATTCACAAAATAAGAAATATCCATATGCTATTTTATAAAATAGTCGTATAATATGAAAACTGTCATTCGAGATGAATCGCTAATACGGAAATAACTTAATGTTACGCGTCGTTTACGTTATAATTAAAATCTTGTTAACATGTGTTGATGAGACTAATATAAAAACGACGATATTTTTTTTTTAATAAATAGTATGCTGAAGAAAATGTTATTATCGATAAAAAATATTTTTTTTTAACTATTAAAAGTATCGTATCATTAAACTTTATTGTTTTACTTAATATACATAATTTACTTTCTATTTGCAAAGTTTATTTATTAGATTTTGATATTAATTTTAAATTAAAATTCTTTTATATTAATTTAAAAGTAAAAATCTAATCAACTTATAACGTAAGTAGTACAGAAAAAAATTGTTAAAGTTTTCGTATTCGAAAATGAAATTATATTATCATCTATTTGAAATAAATAATTAAAAATATTGACTGAGAATGAAAAAGAAATTGGTTCTAGAATATATTGTATCAATATATAAATATATAGTTTGCATGGGACTAATCCTTTTCTATTTTTCTCAATCAATATATTTAATCAGGAATGTTAAAAGAATGGATAAGTACAAGAAATACGACTTTAGATGTTAAGAAAGAGTTCATTTTGTTTGTATAAAATAACAAAATATAAATGAAAGTAAAAACCGGGTGATGATGATGATTTTGTTGCTGCTGTTATTGTTGTGTTGTCTCTTTGAATCGAATTCAAATAGGCCGCGCATAATTTATGAGAACTATGCGCATTGATACTGCGCATGCGCAATAACATTTAATTAAGATTTATAAAAAAAAGTTAATTATTATTAAATTACAGGATAATGAAAGCCGAACAGTTGTTTATTTTGAACGAACAGTTATTGAATAGTTCTACACTATTAGAAAAAAAAATATCTATAGTTCGTGCCAAATTGAGGGTCAATTTTTATAAAATAAAAAAAAATAAAAAACGAACAAAAATTTTTTTTGATAGAACAATGAAGAACAGTTAACGAACAGTTGATAGAGCCAAAAAAAAGTGCAAAAAAATTAATTTCCCCCCGCCAACTTAAGAATCATGACTGTTCAAACGTTGTGCAATTCGTGTTTGTGCTCTTCTATGATAATAAAACAGGTGAATTTTATTCTTATTATATAGTTTATTTTTTATTATATAGAACAATTTTTAGTTGTCCCGTTGTATTATAAAAATATACTAATATTTTTGGGTTTAATTCATAATAGATTGTCAAAATGTAAAGATATTAAAGGGGATTATATCTGAATGGTTCAGTATAGTACATAAATTGTTATAAGTGCGATGACGTATTTTGCGATAGGCCTTTATTTATTGAAAACATTCAAAATTTGTATTACTTCGGCCTTTATAAAGCGCCAGTTAAACAATTTAAAGTTTAGTTAAATTACAGAAATCCAAATAATTTTTACTAGATCTTTATCGTTGTATAAATATTATAAGTTTTAATGTTATACCGATACATTAAATAGGTAGGTAGTGTATTTTCAAGTGTTTTCCTAAGTAGATACGCTATTTAAATAATATTATTAATATTAAGTACGTTAAATTACTTAAATCATTTTTAGAAATATGGATTCCCGGGCACGAAGAATTATGAAACTACTAAATTCACCAAGTCACCATAGATTGGAATGCGGCAGTGAAAATGATCGATCTTTAGCAACAGAAAACGTAATTATTATTATTTTATTTTGTAATTTAAGTAAATAATTCTCATTCATTTATCAATTTATTCAATGTAAGTTATTTTGGTTTTTAGGTTATTTGTAACGAAGAAAAAGAAGACATACTGTTTGAACCTACTAATCCAGAAAAAAATACAACTGCTGTTACTCAGCAGCAACCAATTGTTTTTGATAGTTCTGAAGAGAAAATACCATCACAGGATAGGGTTCCTCCTGTGGAAAGTGACGTCGTAATAGGAAATAGTAATAGGAGCTCCCCTCAGAAACCCATCACGCGCCGTCGTTCTTCTAGCTCAAGTTCGTCCAGTTCTAGTAGCTCTGGAAGTTCTAGATGCTCTTCTGACGATCAGCGACCATCTTTAGATGAAAACGCCGAACCACAGCCTAGTACTTCAAGAGCCAATGTTTTACCATCCTTAATGACACCGATTTGCAACTAGTCGCCATCAGTTAGACCCCGAACAGCGTTTCGTAATTACTCTATTTCGCCACTTCACTCTGGAGAAAGTGACGTAGACCTCAGTCATGACGATCCCACTTATAATCAAGATCAACATCTTCGTCAACGTTCACCGAGCCCAGCAGTTATAAGTTCTAACAAACCAAGGAAACGTAAAGCAGATAAAAATAAATGTATGCAAAACGCGCAAAAAATTAAACGAAACTTGGGTCAAAGTTATGTAGCTGTACATTCGAAGAAATTGGTACCTGCACGTAGTATTAAACCACCTTGGCCGTGGCCAAAACTGTATTTCCTTCTATTTTTCAGTGGACGATGAAAAAATAAGGGTATGTAAACCGTTTTTTATTAATACTCTTGATATTTCACATAAGATGATTCGAACCGTGCAGATTGAGAGCAGAAATACTGGAGGTTTCATAAAGGATGATAAACGCGGCAAACACAAAAATCATAAAACTGCAAGTGAAGAGCTTATTAAGGACATCATCAACTTTATCAACTCCATACCTCGCATTGAATCGCACTACCTAAGAGCATCTACGTCTAGAGAGTACATCAGCAGTGGCAAAAGCATTGCAGAGCTCTTTAGAGATTTCGAAGTTTTGCAAAAGGACAGGTCTCGCCCTGCTGGACTCTATCACACGTTTTATGAAATATTTAACACAAAATTTAATTTAGGCTTTTATCAGCCCAAAAAAGATCACTGCGATCTTTGTCTCCAGTTCCACAATTCTACTGAACCACAAAAGCAGCAACTGAGAGACAAATATAATACCCATTTAGAAGAAAAGGAATTAAGCAGAGAAGAAAAAACGAACGATAGAAAGAACATTAATGAGTGCAATATTTGTGTATGCTACGATGTACAAGCCATTATGCAAAGTCCGAATGGTGAAACTTCGGCATTCTATTATAAATCAAAACTTAATAGTTATAATTTCACTATTACTGAATTAAGTAAAATTCACGAGGAGAATGAGTCAACAATGGATATCTCTAAAAGCTATGAAAATGTTCATTGTTATTTTTGGGATGAGACTCAAGCTAAAAGAGGCGGTACGGAGATAGGTAGCTGTGTTTCCAATTATTTACAGATGGTGTGTGAAGAAGCTGGGGAGAGGGAAGTAAATATAACATTCATATCTGATAACTGCTGTGGCCAAAATAAAAATCTCACTTGTTTATACTTATATGCCAATATAAATAATTTGTCATCAATAACTCACAAATATCAGATAAAAGGTGAGGCTGATAATGTTCACAGTTTGATTCAAAAGCAGATAACAAGAGATTTGAAAACTGGACCAATTTACTCGCCAGTTCAGTACATGTCAGCAATCAAAAGAGCAAGGAAAACTGGTACTCCATTTAAAGTTCACAGTTTAACACATAGTTTTTTAATGAACTTCAGAAATTGCAAGAAAAATGGGGCTATAATTTTAATATCGATGAAGAGAAAAATAATGTAATATGGAATAGCATTAACCCTTTTCTTGTTAGTGTATCTGTAGAGATACACCAGAATTTAAAAAAATCTAGTGTTATTATTTTTAAGCGAAACCATGATATTTTTTTTAGGAATATTTAGGCCATTTCTTAGTTTCGGAACGCAACTTAAGTTTTATGTGTTGGTAAGACTGATGAGCTGTCAAACTTCACTTTAGTTCAAGTTCCGACATGTTGCCTCGCAAAAAGGTAAGAAAAGTTATGATTTTTTCTTGTTTTTATGTATTGAATGAGTGGATGTGTTAAGTTATTAATTATAGATATATTTAGCACTAAAATAATTACTTTGGACATTCTTTAATTGTCTGGTTGATGCTTCATGTGACTTTTTTAATCTCTGATTGTATCTCCTCGTGCACATTGCCAAGAAACTAACAATTCTATATATATTTGATATGTATCTCATGGTACACACTGCTAGCTTTCCTAACAACTTTTACAAAATCGTCATGTATCTGTATGTGCACACTGCCAAGCTGAATAACTGTTCATATGGCTATGCGTGGCTTATTTTATATATTAATTGTAGGTCCATATGCTTTCAAGAGCTAGCAAAATACTCACATTGGTGCCAAAACACAGTCAGTCATCAAATGATGAAGAAAGTTCGGATTCTAGTAGTGAAGTCGAGAATTTTAATCTTCAAAAACGCGATAGTACTGAATCTTCATCTGCTCCTTCGCTTCCTTCTTCTCTTGAAAATCTTCACATACTTTCTGACGATGAAAACAAGCTCACTTCCTGCCCTACAGTATCAATGAAACCAGCGTCTAAAAGTATTTCTTTGGATTCTTCAACTCAAAATTCTCTTCACTCGGTCATACCTCCTTCACCAACTGCCATTGTAAATGTTATTCGAAATAAAAAGCCTAGATTTAACCGAATAGTGCCTGAAACACCAGAGTCATCGCCAGCAATAGTAGCAGCCTCACCATCGCCGTCAAATATAAATACACGCTCAAGACAGCCACGGCTAGCTGTAAGGCGCCTTGCACCTATACAAAGAAAGCAACTGAAATTCCATTGGAATAACAAGAAATTTGAACATAACGCCGAAATACACGATAAACAGTTACCTTCAGATACCATAAAAACACCACTAGAATATTTTCAATACTTCTTTGATGATGGCATCCTTAACATGATTACAGAGCAAAGCAATTTATACTCAACTCGAACAATTGGTCGTTCTCTTAATTTTTCAACACATGACATCAAAGATTTTATTGCAATAAATTTGATAATGGGAATCGTGAATATGCCGGCCTACACTGACTATTGGTGTCAGGAAATCAGATTTTCACAAATAGCTGATGTAATGACACTCAAAAAATTTTAACAGATACGACGGTACATCCACTTCAACGACAATCGGCTTGATGACGGTGATCGATATTTTAAAGTTATGCCACTCGTTGAAAAAGTACGTGCCAACTTTTTGAGAGTTCCTCATGAAACCAGGTTCAGCATTAATGAAATGATGGTGCCATATAAGGGCAAAAAAGCCGGTAATCGAAAACAATACATAAAGAGCAAGCCTCGCAAATGGGGGTACAAAATATTTGTTAGAGCTGGCGTTTCGGGCTTCATTTATGATTTTCTCGGACACACACTTTCAGATACCACCTATTTTCACCAGAAGAAATGAGTTTGGGCTTTGGGGCAAAAGTCGTCTTCTCACTATGTAAAACTATTCCTGATCCAGCATGTTCACCAGTCTAGAGCTAATACATATGCTCCGATATAATATGGGTATATTCTCCTTAGGCACCATAAGGTCAAATAGACTACGTGGTGCAGAACAAAAGCATATACCTGATAAAGCCCTCAAAAAAAAAGGCCGCGGATCTTATTCACGAGTAGTAAGCAATACAAACAAAGTCTGTATTGTCAAATGGCATGATAACAAAGTGGTTACTGTGGCAAGCAGTTATGTTTCTGAAACTCCTGGAGTTATACAACGTTACAATAAGGATTTAAAACAGAGAGCTGCTGTCCCCTGTCCCAATATAATAAAGCACTACAACGCACATATGGGAGGAGTCGACCTTGCAGATATGTTAGTGGCTTTGTACAGAACGGAGATGAATAGCCACCGATGGTACTTACCGATATTTTCTCAAATGTTAGATATGTGCGTGAACAATAGCTGGATTTTGTATCGCAGACATTATTGGCGTGAATAACATAAAACGACTGAGTTTAAAGAAGTTTCGACATCATATTATACAAGGGCTCTTACATTCTGGGAGACAGCAGCCATTCAAAAACTATGATTCTGTACCACCAGCACCAAAAAAGATTATAAAAACACCCTGTACCGTAAGGCCAACTGCGGACGTTAAATATGATGAATACAATCATTTCCCTACTTTTGGGTCCAAAGGACGATGCAAACTATTATAATTGACCTATTCTTTTCTTGATAATTGTATTTTAATTTATTATAATTGACAGTGAAAATAAAATGGCAGAGTGACAGCACACTTGTTCTTTATTTGTTACGTCTCCCAAAAAGTAGGTTTTAATATGGCTGGCTTTGGCTTATATAGGCTCATCCCCTCCAAGTGGCTGCCATTTGCGGTTGGCAGGCATGGCGGTTGGTTGGAGGGTTGGTCAACATGGCATGGCTTGGCTTTGGCATTGGTTATGGCATTGGCTATGGCATTGGCTATGGCTTTGGCTATGGCTTTGGCTATGGCTTTGGCTTTGGCTTTGGCTTTGGCTTTGGCTTGGCTTTGGCTTGGCTTGATGTGACTGGCGACGTCACGTCCGTTACACTCGGCCATCCTGAAACAGTTGTTCCCGTGGGAACAACAACCACGATTAGCTCTCTAATAAATCAAACAGATCTTCGGTTTCAAGTTGCTCATTATTAACGGATTGGCGAAGAGACTTAGTTCTGCAGCCTACGCGGTTAAAAAAATTCGCTCACTAACTGATGTCGATACAGCTAGACTTGTTTATTTTAGTTACTTTCATAGCTTAATGACTTATGGCTTATTATTATGGGGTCATGCTGCTGATGTCGAAACTATTTTCATCCTGCAGAAGAGGGCTATTCGTGCAATCTATAATTTAAAATGTAGGGAATCTCTTAGAGATAAATTCAAGGAAATTAATATACTTACCTTTCCCTCGCAATATATTTATGAAAATATTATGTATGTATACAAAAATAGTGATAAGTTTACTAGAATAGAACATACGCACAATGTTAATACACGGAACAAACGCAGGCTGCAATTTCCCCGTACTAGACTATCTAAAGTTAGTAATTCTTTTTTGGGGAAAGGGATACTCTTCTTTAATAAAATCCCAGAGGCTCTTTTATCACTGCCTTTCAATAAATTTAAGAAATGTATTAAAGAAAAGCTGTGTAAAAAGGCTTACTATAAAGTCAACGATTATCTAGTTGATAAAAGGGCCTGGGACTAGTGCTAGACAGGCTACTTCTAATCAATTTGCGATATTTGTTTTAAATAAGTGTTGTTTGATGATTTGCTGTTTTAAAAGAGTACCGAGAGTTTTTTACGCCGGCTTTTTCTCTCGGCCTACACCCTCTGTCTTCTTTGCCGATGAGTAGGGATGCCTTCAAATTTAATGACGTGGAATAAGTGATACATGTATCTTATGTTCCATAATAAACATATTTTATTTTATTTTATTTTTATTCTGAACTGCTGGCACTATCAGATACAGTAATAATGCTTTTATAGGGTCTTAACGAATCGGCAGATACTAATCCAGTAAAACTCTTATATCCACGTAAACCATTTAGTGTACTTCTCATTTGGTACCTATCATTGCCCACTACCTTAGTTACGACATAAGGACCGGAATACAAGTCGTCAAGTTTAGTGTTAACTTTGGATGCGCTACAAGTCGGTGTTTGTCGCCATAGGACAAAATCACCCTGCTTATAGATGTGAGCAGATTTTCGTTTTTTTGTCAAAGTAACGTTTCATTGTAGCACTCGCTTTTAGTATCCTATCAGATGCTTTCTTTCGACGCGACTCTACTGGTTCAGAAACACGTCCGGGAACCGCAACATCACATACTGACCTACCAGCCCGAGCAAACATCAAGTCGTAAGGTTTGTAAGTGGTGGTGTTATTAATTGAGTTGTTAATTCCCCAAATTATGTCGGGCAAAGAGTTAGCCCAATTGCTAGAGGCTTCACTGGGGTCTGTGGCTCGTAATGCATCCAGTATTGTCCTATTTGTACGTTCCACTTGACCGTTAGAACGCGGACAAGCAATAGCATTGAGAGTATGTCTTAACTGTTTATCATTCGAAAACTTCTTAAAGTTCCTACTCGTGAACGCCTTTCCGTGATCGGTGACTATGTGATCAGGGAAGGAAAATAAACTAAATATCCTTCGTAGTACACGAATAGTTTCGATCGAGTTGACAGTACGCGTTGGCTCAGCTATTACAAACTTAGAAAAACCGTCTGTCATAACGAGCATATATTGATACCCCTTATTTGTCTTAGTAAAAGGGCCAATGTGATCAATATGAACCATTCTCATAGGCTCAGAGGGCTTAGGAATTGGATGGAGTTTACCTTCTTTTTTGCCGTAGCCCCTTTGCCGTATGCACAATGAAGACATGCAGTCACATATTTCTTTATAAATCTTGTCATTTTAGGAAACCAAAATTCGTTTTTGATTAATTCGTTACAGCGATTAAATCCTACATGACCAATGTCGTCATGGTGCATTTGCATTATTTTCCATCTGGCCGAATTTGGAACCACCAACCTATTCCCGTTCAAGGTTTTACGATAAAGCCTATTATCAATAATTTCGAAATTATTTTTTTTAATTCCGATCCGCCGGTATTATCTTTTAATTGACTAACGATTGCGCTCAACTTATCGTCCTGACATTGCACCGTATAAAACCAATCCGTCACTTCTAGACGATTCACGCGTTCATAACGTCAACCAGATGTCTAC